GGCATCGAAAAAGACTACAAACGTTAGGAGTGAATATGTAGTGTAATGTTATGTGGATTTTTACAGTACAAAATCAATACGTAACATTTGTACTGTAAATTGAATACGTATTGCGTTCGGGCGCACGCTAATGTAGACGCTTTCTTGGCGGCGATGGCGCCGGGTTAACAGAATACGACGCGTTCCGCTGCAAGCGTAGTGCGCGATTATAGCGTGATCATAGGCTAAGAAGTACATGTAGCTACATATCATATAACTTTACTGGAGGGCAAGATATCCACTTCACTATTCAAGGTCTATTCGATGGTGCAGAGACTTCGTAGCGGGTTTTGACCAACACATTGAGTACAAGGAGAGATACAAGTAGCTTGGTACTGACTTCTACAAGGATGAGATACAAGTAACTGCGTGTGTCTAAGTTTACGTAGCTTTTGTCAGTTGCAACACATCAGTTGTTGACTCAGTCTGAATCCACGAAATAACCGGATTCTTGGTGCGTCCGAATACGGCCTACAATTTCAGTATTATTTATGGAATTCGCAAGGTGGTCCACCTTGCGTTTCATACAAAATTGCCTATTGCACCTTGCTTTTTCTGGTTAATGAGATTCACACAATTCGAGAACGTGATTTTAGGGGCTTATAAATTTATAGAGTATTTTGTGCTATCTCAACTCAAAAGTGGACTACTAGAGAGTTTACGTACAGAGAAAGATGGGAAAATTGGGCACAGTTGTACTACGAACTATATAGACGTTTGTATACTCGAGAACATTGTAATAAAATAGTTTTGGAAAAAGTCCCACTCTTTGACAAGGATGCTGGCGCTTCTGATTCAATATAAATTTCTAATATCAGTTAATCGGTGTCCGTAAATCCCTTGAAAAATTGAACCAATCAACAATTGATGAACGAGGAGGTTTATCCACTGAGACATTGTACCGGTAGGTATTGACCATTTTGAATCAACCATAATTTATCGCAGCGGTGTTTTCTTATGATCAACTACTATTCGCTGTTACTCAATTTATTGGGGGGGGTAGTTAAATATCCTGGGGTTTGCAGACTACGATTCTACTTTGCACGCGGGCATACATTATGATGGAGTCCAGTTATTTAGGTTTTATCAGGTCTATGGCGTGATTATCTCGCCGAACTAGTCCCAGGCTTTAATTATTGTTTCAAGAAACACCGTAGGGATTTATTACACATTGACCACCAAACCGACCACACACAAATTTGCACGTTGTATAAAGTAAGCACACATTTACTACGTTCTAGTATAGCAGTAACCTAAGCTCAGGTGGTTTTTATAATTAATATTAATGGACTTAATTTGTAATTACATAACCCGATTTACAATATCAATGAGTTGTTTTGTTATAGCATAATCTGATTTACAAGTACAGTTAGTTGCTTGCAACTAATTAACTCGATTATTCATGTCACACAATTGTTGTGTAGCGCCTTGGCAAACGACTTGACAATGACATCGTCACCCAAGGCACCAAACGCAGCAATAGTTCGCTTGATCATCATCATCCGCGTTTCTGCAGCGGTCGACACAGGTGTCCCCGGAGCCACAATGATCACATGTTCGCCTTCAGGGGGCCAATCACACCAACATCTAGCGGCTGACAATCACTTGTCGAATTTGGGGCAACGCTTGCAAACTGGAGCACAAATCTAGACGGATGCATTGCTCACGTGTGACGCCAAATTGTCCACCAAAATGACTGACGGTGTCTCGGCAACCAACTCGTGCTTCAGTAACTCCGTGAAGTAAATTCGCCACACGCGGTCGTCCATCGAGGCTTCCTTTTGAACCGCATAAACATGGCCCGCCGGATAGGTTGGAACTTCATTCGACTCAATTAAGCCCCCAGGTTTTCCATTCATAATAAATAAAATGGGCAATTTTGGCCTATAATTTAATTAAGAATTCAAACCAATGTATATGAATTTTGTACCGTCAGCGCGAATCGTCAATACTGTAGTCAAACGCTACGAGTGTTTTTCTAATTTATCCACTTTGGACGAGCCTCCAATCAGAGCCCATGTATACGCCGGCGGCATGTCGTAATAAACGCCCGTTTCATCGACGTTGAGAATTTCGTCCGCATGAAGGGTTACCTGGCGCACCACACGGCCTACATGTTTGAGCGGGGTGAGTACCACACCTACCTTGAGCGCCAAATGGTCGTACTCCAGGACGCCGCTCACGTGCAGAGAACGTCGAAATGGCTCTACGACTCGAGAACATGGTTTATGGCCAGTAGTACATATTGAATGTGAAATTTTCAACTTGAGATGTAAAATTGTTTGTTTCGTTCAAAGTTAGTGTCTTTTCGACGTTCGGAACGTGTGCCATTTCAAAAGGATTTGTTCAATTCTCGATCTGATTGGCTTAACGGAAAGCGCAATGAAAGATCATTGATTCGCTGTATTTTGAATACCCAAATTCGGCGGGACGCCAAAAATACACATCTCCAAAGTTGAGCAAACACAACAATCTCAATAGCACACACCCGCTGAGAGTTGATTTCTCAAGTAATGGCCTCGCAGCAACCTCTATTAGTTTCCTCTGGTCCACACTATGCCTCAAGGACCATCACGCTCTCGACCGGCATCTGTGGCCGATGTCTCGACCCGCTGCAATCTCAGCAACGATGATGAACGAGTTGCTGCCTACCAGCTTCTGCTGGAACGATCCATCGGAGGTGTGCTCCATAATGGTGCATTTGTGACTACTGCTAAATTCTTTGACTGCCATTGGAGCACAATATCTCGATTGTGGACGCGAGGAATGTCGTCCATAGCTGACGGGGCCGCACTCGCCAACGTCGACTCGCGACGCAAGGGTAAATTCTCTAATAATCTATATTTTGCCCAAAAATATTCCTTTCTGCAGAAATTAACTTATACGGGTTTACGAGTTTAGGCAATTCTGGTGCCAAGAAAGTCCGCTCGGCAATCGACATCAAGATGGCCATCAAGGCTGTGCCACACGAAGGTCGCCAAACCCTCCACCCCACTGCAGCTTTGTCTGGTATTCCGAAGACCACCATTTTGCGGCACATGAAGGAGCCCCACGGCCTCGCGGCGGGCACAAGTCAACTGAA